AGTTAACTTGGTTTTAAATAATAAATGGGTTTGGGGTTGACTTCAGTAATGATAGCCTGCATCCTTCTGTGCTTTTTTTTTGGGAAAAATACGCTAAGTTGAGTTATCTGGTTTGGGAGGGTGTGCTTGGATTGGGCTCTTCCCGCTCTACCTGTCCTTGGGAATTTGGAGAAATGGAGCTTTGCAGGTCAGATTTAAGTTGGACAGGACTGAACCCACCCTTGGCACCTCCACTTCTGACCTCCCCCCACATCATTATTCAAGCTCAGGGGAAACCCAGAAGACTGCACTACAACAAAAAGCCTCTTGTTTGCCTGTAATGGCAGAATTGGGGGGGAAAAAATGTTCCTTTAAAAGGAATATTTTATCAACACAACTCCTCCCCGAGGGAGGAGAGGGCATTAATATGATTTTTGCATCTCCCCACAGGAGGGAGACAACAGTCTTTCCTTTTCTCCCTCCTCCTACTTCTGTTTCAGGGGTGTTTTTCCTCTGTTTAAATTGTTCAGATGGAAAACCATGGTGAGTCTGGACACCTGGTACAGCCTGGGATAGTCAGGAAGAGCTGGGATGTGTTGGTTCTCCTCGGGCTTGCTGTTCTCCCTGCAGCTGGGGCTCCTCTCCCTGCTCTGATGGCAGAACCTCTCGCATTCCCCTTGGGAGCAGCCTGCTTCCCCCTGGCACATGGAAAAGCCTTGGGCTTTGATCTGAAGCAGCTGGAGTGAGTTGCACCAGGAGACAGATCAGCTGCAGCAACCTCGGAGCTGGTGGAAACATAAACATTGGATGCTGGGGTGGCTTTTTTGTTCCCTTTCTCCCCTCAGTTGCAATTTTTTACAAGCTGAGCCAGAGCCAGCTGTTCTCTGGCCAGGCCAAAAATCTCTGCCAGGCTTAAGTTTTTAGATCCATATTGTAAATTATATATTTTTAGCTCCTCATATAATGCAGAGGGATGTGTGGAGGAGCGGTTTTGAGAGCATTATGAGCACGATGGAGCCTTCAGCTGCAGCTTTGCCCTTAATAAATGCTGTTATTTTACATTAAACACCCTTAAAAGCAGCCCCCTGTCCCAGCCACCTGCTCCTGCCCCCGTCCCACCATCATCCCATGGGAAGCAGGGAGGAGAAAGGTCAAAACCACCCCAAGAGGGGTAAGAATAGATGGGTGGGGTGGAGGTTCTGCTGTTGTACTTGATTTAAACCAAGCTGCCAAGAAGCCAAGAGTGAAGCCCAGCTGGCAGGGTGATATTTCCTCCCCAGCACGCGCCAGCTCCACGCCGCTGAAGATCTCGAGGTATCCCCAGAGTCACCCTTTAGAGATAACTCATCTTGGGGCCTCCACCACCCACACGGAGAGGAGAGATTTCCTGGTGCGTGGGTGGGTGCCTCTGCCTTTTCTTCTGCAGAAAACCCAGGTTTACTCATTTTTCACCTTCTAACATAGAGCTGGGGCCCCCCCTGGGGTCTGGGGCTCTCTCTCAGCTCCTCCATCCCTTGCTGGTGGTGGCCCATCGTCACTCAGCCCCAGCCAAGCCCTTTCTGCTGCCTTCTCCCCACAGTTCCTGGCCAAATTTCTTAATTATGGCTTTGAAGTGGTTAACAAGGATAAAGTGTGAGGTTGTTAAAAGCTCCTCAGTATGCTAACGAAGCAGCAGTCCTGGTCCCCTCCTTGGGGTCACCCAGGGCGATGTCACTTGACCCGTTAGGAACAAGAAGTAACTTTAAATGTATTAATTTTTTTAACATTAGCATGTCCCAAAGTCACTGGAGGCAGCAGAGAATCCAAGTGCCAGCCCTGCCCAGCCCAGGGACCACTCAGGTCACAATGGGACCGTTCCTGTCTCTCGATTCATCACCACATCACTGTCACTGCTGGACAGTAGTGACATCCCCCAGAGATGGTTTGGGGGTTTCTTTAACTAAAATATACATTCATTTACCAAAACCCGCCTGTTCTTATCCCTATCCAACCTTAGATGCCCAAGGGTTTGATTTTGGGTGGGTGTTTGAAATCGGAAGCATTGGGCTGCAGTGCAAGATGTAACCAGAAGTTTGTACTCTATTACCAGGTGGGGCAGTGTGTTCTTTATCCCTTCCACCACCCACCCTCCCTGCAGGGGGATATCTTCTGCTAATGGGCCGTTGAGCTGGCTGATAAAATTCCAACATCCCACTGGGAGATGCTCCAGCCAGGGGGAAGAGCAGAGCATTCCTACCTGGATCAGAATCTGGGATTTGCAACACCAGTCAACCTTTTTCCACCAAACTCCCAGAGGAAGACCAGACTGTTCTACACCACCACTGAACCTCCAGAGGAAAACTACCCCCTTCCACAGGATCCCCACATCTGTCACTCCAAGAAGACTGCAGCCACTGTTTAATCAGACTGCTACCAACAGGCTGTCAGGTTGTATTCTCACTGTCAGAGTTTTTTGGTACTACTACATTTTATTTTTCTATTAAGTTGTAGGGTTTTTTTTATTTACACATACTAGTAAAGAACAGTTATTCCTACTCCCATATCTTTGCCCAAGAGCCCTCTAATTTCAAAATTATAATAATTCGGAGGGAGGGGGTTTACATTTTCCATTTCAAGAGAAGCTCCTGCCTTCCTTAGCAGACACCTGTCTTTTCAAAGCAAGACACACGGTAAAGGTCAGGCTCCAAGCCTGGCTCAAAGCCCCGTGCTTGAGGCTCAAACCTGATTTTATCTGGCAGCACGAGTGAAGTAACATTTATCACCATGGTTGGAGGAGAAGGAGAACAAGGTGTCGTTTTTTTCCGTTGGTGCTTTGTTCAGTTCAGAATGGGTTTGGTGAGCACCCACTGGGTGGGGAGGAGGGGATGGGGTGGATTTCCCTGGGGGTTTTTCACGGCACTGTGAGGAGTCTGTTCCCTCCAGCCTCTCTCCTTTGCCCCAACCTCCTCCCTGCCCACTTCCCAGTGGCAGGGACAACTCGTGGGATTGGACTGGGCTCCATGATCTGGAAGGTCTTTTCCCACCTAAGTGATTCTGTGATGCCGCAGAGGGAAGGATGGGTGGGAGATGCCACTGCTTAGGGTGCTGCAGAAGCATGGGATTCCCACCATTCTCCTCCATCCCTCTCCTTTCTCCCACCTCATTTCCATGTGGGACATGGGAAAGCTCCCTGCACAGGGATGCTGGTGTGTGCCTGGCAGGGCTGGGATGAGGCATTCCTAAGCAGCATTCCCAGAGAGATGGGGATGGATGCTGCAGGGTCTGAGGCAGTGTTGAGGGGCAGGTTTCAGCTTCCCCCTCTCTCAATTTGTGCCCACGGTGCTGAAAATGAAGGACCTTTGGGACTGGCTTCAGTGCAAATTCCTCCGAGGTGGCTCACGACAAGAGGAACGAGGATAACGTCGAAACGGATTTGTTCCAGGAGGCTGGAGCTGTGATTCACAGTGCGAAAATGCACTTGGGTGCCTAGCCTGGCTCTCCAAAAACCCGAGGGCAGGAGGAAAAGGGCCAGCTCAAGGCTGGGTGTTGGAAAGGCCAGGCTGCTCCCCATCCCCTTTCTGCTTGCGTGAGCCGCCCACGCAGAAACCAGAGCGACTCGGGAGGAGAAAATAGACTCAACACCTGCTGGCTGGCCCCGTGTCCCGGCAGCCCTGGTCCCTCCAGTGTCCCCCTCGCTCTGCAGGCCCCGGCCAAGGGGAAAAGCCTCGGGTGGCTCCTGGATCCAAGGGAAGTGTGAGTGAAGCGGGGCCCCATGGAGCCCAGCTCCATGCTGGGGGTACCACTGCTGGAAGGCTGGGAAAAGAGGAACCAGCCTGATTTTCAGCCCTGCTTCTCCCTCACTTTCCTGGTGTGGAAAGGTGATGGAGAGACCTTCGGGCCCTTCCCTTCTGCTGTTGGTGCCTGACTTCCAATTTTTCAGTCATGTGTCTTCATAACAAATTACCCTAATTATTTTTGCCCACTGGAACACCTGCAGACACTTTTCCTTCTCCTTCCATCACTGTGGAAGGGGTGGGTACAGAGCAGGAGCAGCCAGGGGTGCTCCAGCAGTGTGTGGGGACACTGGGCTGGGACAGGGGGCCCTGTGGCCACCCTGGAATCTGCTCCAGCAGCAGCGCTCACTCCCTGTGGCGGATGAGCCGAGTCCTTCCTTTCCATAGGGCTTTTTCCACCTCTCCATGCAGGTCCTACCTCTCCATGGTCCTTCTTCCATTCCATGGCCCTTGCTCTCCGCAGCTCCACGGGCTGGAGCTGCTGCTGCCGGCGGGATGCAGCAGTGCTGGGTGTGTGTGCAGGGGGTGCAGCAGGAGGGAATGTGGGGTGCAGGGGGTGCCCTGCAGCAAGGTGTGTGTGGATGGCAGGCACGGGGGTGTGACAAGGCCTGGGCTGTGTAAGGGGCACACCCGCGGTGCACAGGGCGTGTATTGTGTATTGTGTGTGTACTGTGTGTGTAAGGAGCGAGTGCAGGGCGGAAAGGGCACAGGCAGCAGCACACAGCGCTCTGGGGCGTGCACTGTTTGTGTGTAAGGCAGGGAGCGCACGTGTGTGTGTGTGTGTGTGTGTGTGTGTGTGTGTGTGTGTAAGGCTGGCCCGGGCCCCGCTGCGTGTTTACGAGGCTGGGCCGTGGGCCTGTGTGTGTGTATGTCTGTGTGTGTGTGTCTGTGTGTGTGTATATACAGCCGGGCCGCTGCCTCCCGGGGGCCGGGCCCGGGGCGGTGCCGAGGCCCCCGGGGCGGCGCCGAGGCCTGGGCGGTGCCGGGCCGGGGGAGGCCGGGGCGGTGCTGGGGCTGTAAACACGGGGCGGAGCGGGCCCGGGACCGCTCCCGCGCACACCCGAGCGCAGCCGCGGCCGGGGCCGCTCCAGCGGCGGCAGCACCGTGAGCGGGGCCGGGGGCGCGGGGCGGGGGCCCGGGCCGGGGCGGGGGCGCGCTCGGCAGAACAATGGGGCGGGGGGCGGGAGGCCGGGCCGGCCCCGGCGCGCTCGGCCGCTCACCGCGCTCCGCTCCCCGCAGGCAGCCCCGATGGCCAAGCAGCCCCCCGAGGTGAAGGCGCGACGCGACGGCGAGGGCGGGCGGCTGCCGGCGGCCGAGGGGCCGGGCCCGGGCGCGCAGCTGCGCCCCGGCGCTCCCGCCGCCCTGCCCGGGGCCGGCCCGGTGTCCGCGGCCGCCGCGGC